CACACACTACCACACACACCTCACCTCACCTTAGACCTGCCCATCGCGAAAGCAATGATAGCGAACAGCTATATTAGACAAAGCAACTTGTGCTGGGATTGCACCATTCAACAGCTTGCAAGGCTGATGAATTGACCGCCACTAATTTTAGCTTGGTCTACACCACACAGCTGATTGAAGTGGCTTTTTTCTGGCCAGTGAATCCCAATTTTTTCATTTTTTTCATTCTTTCTTCATTTTTTGGACACACCCACCACATTCCACGCACACACACGTACACACACGCACACACACTGGTACAGCAATATAGTCACGGAAAGCTTACGTAAACAAAAGTCCTTGAAGCAGGCTTGGTAGCCATCCACGAGCGTAAGTTATTCTGAGCTAGAGCAATTTCTGACCGGCAGATTTGCACTTCCCACAGAAGTGATTCTGTAGTGGGCTGAACAGTGAACATAGTAATCAAACAAACAAAGAGCAGTGGTCGAATGGGTACACAACTTCATGATATTCCCTTAGAGTCAGCTCGTCACAATGTTGTGTGTGCGTGTGTGTGTGTGTGTGTGTGTGTGCGTGCATACGTGTGTGTTGCTACGCATTGTGTATTGTGACCACAATAACAGAAAAGCTGACAGGATCGTTTTTCTAAATTATTTTAACATATTGCATCATCTTTAATACACGCACGGTGTACAGTCTTGTGTCGCAGCACAATCTCCAGTACAGTATAAGCACACTCAGCACGCCCTTCCAAGAGTTATACACGCAGTCTCCACTAGAAGCACATTCTCCAATAAAAAGCACAGCGTCCAAAAAAGCGCGGTCCCTAATATAAGCACAGCCTCCAATAAAAGCGCAGCCTCCAATAGAAGCGCAGTCTCCAATAGAAGCGCAGTCTCCAATAAAAGCACAGTCTCCAATAAAAGCACAGTCTCCAATAGAAGCATAGTAAAGCGTAGTGCTAGTATAGAACAGCGTGCAGCATGCGGACACGCGCCTGGCGCCATGTGAGATATCACGTGCAGTGTGCAGCATGCTCTGCAAGCACCCGCTGGTACAGTGCATTCTGCACACGCGCGAGGCCGGATCCAAGGAGAAAAAAAAAAGAGCTCATGGACCCTTGTCAGTGTGTATATAGGTAGCACAGTGCATGATGGCTCACCGTCTAAAACCGTACCGGTGCAATCGATTAGTTGAAAACGCGGAAGACGTTTTTTTTGTCTGCGACCCGTATTTCACTCTCATTGGCGAATGATACTTTGACAAATATGGGTAAATTTAAGCCCTCTCGAAACCTGGATCAGGGCTGTTTTTTAAAGATATACCGGTAAGCTGGGAGTTTGTACTGGAGATACTACGGTACATCGGGCACACCAACAGCAAGGCAGGAATAGGCGCAGTGTGGTCAACTACGGGGTGAGCATGTACCAGGTCACTACGGGTCTAGATACAAGCACAGTGTACAAACTACAATGCGATGCAGCCGAAGATCACAACGACAGCAGGCAGATACAAGCATCAACGGCAGGCATTGTCAGCACACACACACACACACACACACACACACACACACACACACACACACACACACACACACACACCGCCCAGCACCGGCACGGCCAGATCGAGAAGAGCATTACAGCGAAGTGTTCAGCGTGAATGTGCGTTACCTTTCCCAGGTCTGCGTGCAGCGCGTCCACAATAGCTTGCTCCTGCTCAACGAGGAACGTATCGATGCTTTTCAGGTACTGCATGCGCTGCTCGTATGTATGGAGTTTTCCAGTGTTAAACGCCTCTCGCGCTCTACTCACCACCTGCAGTAAAAAAATACAATCGACACCTCGTCTCCACGACAACCACCTTATTCCCAATACAGGACAAAAGAAGAAGAAAATGATAAACATGCCATGCACTGGACAATGTCATACGTGCTAGGGATCTTTGGGGTTTGCCCTTTGCATGCATGACATAACAATGGCATACATGTGACAGATGCATAGCCACTGCTAGGGCCCTTGTACGCAGGTACGATGTGAAGCGCTTTGCAGCGCTTTCACCACAAGACGGGATATGCGTGCCAGCTAGCTGCCGTGAAGAGTAAGTGGAGCCATGGTGAACGGCACAGGTTTGACAGCTCGTTGCGCTCCGGCATACATGTACTGTACGTGTACACTTGCACTCCCAGAGCTATGCCATGCACAGTTAGCAGCGCAGTACGGTGCTACATATCTCCCAGCGTATCAACAGACGGACACCCCGAGGCAGAGAATGCTATTGTCAAAACAAGTAGCTACAATTCAGCAATAAGACTATGGTGGTTGTGGTAGCAATAAAGATCTCAACTCACTGCATGAGAATACACAACGATTCTTCAGGACTAGTCGACTCCTATTTAAAATCCATGGCAGCGTGTTCTATACACGTCAAAAACCTCCATCTTATGTACTCCACCACAGGCTCTCAGCTGCACTGAGCACAACATGGTGTAGGCTTTTTTATTCGGTGCAGGTGAGATACTGTGGTGCTGTGCGTAGGATGGGGTGTTTCCAGTGTAAAGAATACAGAAGTACTGAGTAAGTAACACATAAGATAGAATTGTACAGTGAGCGGTAAGCCAACGTACACTTTCCATTTGCGAGTCGAGGGACGACATGACAGGAAGAACAACTACAACTATACCCCAACCAGCACGGACAAGTTCTTTTTCTACGTTGTAGCCTCAAAGACACAGATGAAGTCCAAAATTGAAAACCTAAAATTAACTGCAACACGACTTCAACATCACAAGTACATGTACAAGGAGAGCTTCATTCATTTTTCGAAAACGTTCATTGTTTGTGTAATGTGCTGTGTTTTTGTTTCTGTGTGCGTGTTTCTGGAAATTTCTCCTTTTCGCTTCCAGTAATCCAGTTCCCGCTGGCATGATTGCGTCACGATGACATAAGAACATGACTCATGCATGAGAGACACATGCACAATAATTGAATAAAAATATTGGCTTTCTCTCTTGCTAGGTCTGCGATCCGGTGCGTTCGAGGATCTCGCTCCGTTCGCCGCCGTCACATCAACCTTGTGCCTGTCGACCTCGTCCAGGCTGAGGCTCGCCTTGCTACGCATTAGACTGTCTTCACAGCCATTTTAGCTTCCTCCTTATTGGACTGTTTTCACAGCCATTGTAGCTTCCTCCGTATAAGACTGTTTTCACAGCCATTTCAGCTCATTTTCTCTCGGTACTAAGCTGTTGACCTTGCACTTGTGTTTATTTTGCCCGTACAAGAGGCTTGGAACCACGATAAAAATAATAATACCGGTACGCTCGTACACGCGGTACGACTACGCGGATACGAGTAGATATATCTACGTGCAAGACTTCACTGCGCAGCATGCTAGCAGTAACCATGGTAACTGAGTTGCAAGCAGGGAGTACTAAAGTTGTAGTTGTACTACTCCCTGGTTGCAAGTCGTGCACGCGCACGCGCGCGACTACGGGTTTTGCCATGACGATGATTATGAATAAAATTATTTTATGATGGGATATGGGAAACGTAAAATCCGAAAACATCTTCGCAGTTTGAAAATCCTGATCTTGAAACATAGTGTTTTGGCAACCAATTGCATGGATACAACTGTATGTGCTATCCAAAAAAAACAGTTGACTGGTGAAGCTGTTTATCGTTATGCTGGTGGTATTTATCAGATCACGCTGATTGCGTAGTTTCGCTTCGATGTTGCAGCGTCAATGTCGACATTTTGGGCGACATGCTCGAAATTTCCACTTGAATTATTTCAATGCACGTCGAAATATCCCAATAAGGCATGGGTTGGCAATTGACCACGGGTGCCGAGCACTTTCTTTGACAGCAAGGAGAGATAATTCCAGATCTAAGGTTAATAGTGCTAAAAGAAATACGCCCATTGAACTGACGGCGTCTGGATTGGCTGGGTGTTTATACATCGATGGTGTTTTGGATGGTGTCAAACACCACCAGAAAGAGAATGGCGACATCTCCGATGATTCCCTTTTCTTGACGCTGAGGAGGCTCTCTCAGCTAAAGGAGTTTCATTCCAAAGCTTCGTGGAAGGCAACTTGTGAAGGGAAGAATGAGGAAGAGGTTATTGTTCTCAAGCAAGGTGTTCGAACAGCACTTGGAGAATGTGACGCGGGGAGACTGCACAGCTTATTTTCACTTTGCCAAGAGCTGGAATGGCTTGAAAGAAGCGATCAAGACTTGATCGCGCCTCTCACCAAGGCGTTTTCGCGCTTGTTCTTGACTGAAGCCAAATCTACAGAGGAGCTCAAGTCTAAACGGCAGCAGTTGCATCTATGCATGTCCTGGCCAAAGGAGATCCTATCAGAGCTGTGTGCGAGTGTTGACGTGCGCTCGCTCAGCCATGCATCGCTTTGCTCCCTGGTGGATGTGTTTGCCCCAGTGCGCGCCGACGCCGATATCAAAACGCTCAAGGCCATCTCCGAGGCGGTGGTCAAAGCGAGCCAGACTGCTACTGGTCCAGATCAGATGGCCATGTTGGAGTGTCTGTGCAAGCTAGAGCTCTGGGATCAAGCTGAAAAGTGCCTCACGGCACTCCAGCGCACTATGAAACAGCAACAGGTGGACGGCGACACAATCAAGTTGGTGCAACATCTTATGCCACACCGCAAGCGCCCTGCCGTCAATGCCGCTGTCAATTACCTGTTACACCAGACCACGGACTCGAAGTTGTCAATAGCCGACTTCTATGATTTCCGAGCGTGTCAAGTGGAATACGGACTTGCTGACTTTAAACACGTCCATACTGAATTTTATCATGCAGCGCAGGGCCTGATTCACTCTCCATCAACTGCTACCGAGGAAAACATCGCCGCATTGCTAAGATTGGTATTCGTTCCTTTTCAGTTTGCGGGGAATCAACCAAATAGTGACCACCTGGCAACTGAAATTCATAAGCTGCTGTCATCTCCAGAAGCGGACACAAAGTATAGCGTTCACACGCGACTCGCTATGTTTATTTCTACAATACATCTGCAGCGCGGCAGGCTGGGCACACAGAAACTCGACCAGGCCATGTACAACAAGCTACTGCCAGAAATTCGCGAGCATCTCGTTGATTTGACGAACGCTCAGCTGGCTTTGTTTGCGTACAAGGTTCTTCCCGTCTTGCACAAACATAACAACTTGGTTGCAGAGCGTTGGCAGTGTGTTGCCATTGCGCAGAATCGCATCGACGGACTCAGCCTCAGCCAGCTGACGAACATTCTCTTTGGCTTGCTCAGAGTCGAGACCAACTTGAGCCAGGAAACCTTGCGTGCATTCCTCCGCCGTGCCGCTGAAGCATGCAAAGAAGAGCCATTTGAGTCCACAGTACAAAGCCTCTGCACTCTTGTTGATGTTCTCGGTTGGATCAGTCGCAAGGGCCAGTCAGCATTACCGATTGTAGAGTTTTGCGCCTCCGCTCGTGATGCCGTGCTGCACGTGGTGAGGTCGACAATGGCTCAGCACAAAACGAGGCGTTACATCAGCCTTTCTATACTGAACCAAGGCCTCCGTAACCTGCAAGTCCTGGACCCAGAGCTGCTGGAAGGTGCTGTCGTAGCTATGACACCAGTGCCCAAACTGCTTTTCGAAAGCGACGACGTGCATCTTCTGGTGAACTTGTATGGTATATTTAGTCACTTCGGCATCTTCACCGAGTTCGTTCAGGATGTCTTTTCACTGATGGAAGGAGATTTGCAACTATTCCTTCGAAAAGCATCTTTGGAGGATCAAGTGTGCCTTGCTTATGACTGCCTGTTATTCAACCTTGTGCCGAAGGAGTTACTCAGGACATTACTGATGGACATGAATCTTACACAGCGTGAGTAATTCTTGCTCTCTCTCTCTCTCTCTCTCTCTCTCTCTCTCTCTCTCTCTCTCTCTCTCTCTCTCTCTCTCTCTCTCTCTCTCTCTCTCTCTCTCTCTCTCTCTCTCTCTCTCTCTCTCTCTCTCCACCCCCACCCCCTTTTCACTGTATTTCATATTTCATACTGAGATGGTGAAGGTATTGGATGTATTGTCATTCTGCATGTTTCCATATGTAGCACACCTGTTTGCACCAGTCTCTATGGGGAGAGGGCAAAGAGAATTTAGACTGAAGACAGAGCTCCTAAGACATGCTCAGCGTGTCGCTGAAGTCCGCTCACGCACAGCACCAGCCGATTCTTCATGTTTGACGGACAAGTGTGTCTACGTCGTTGGAGTAGAGTGTTGAAACGTGATGTGTGCTTACATTGACGAAGTTGCTGCTGTGACGTGTGCACACGCTGAAGAAATAAAGTGTGCTCTTTTTGTTCCATGTCATGGCAATGCATCTATAAAATTGTGAGGACAGGAGAAGGAGAGATTGTTGAATCATAGCAGTGCAGTGTGGATTTGGTATTATCAACTGGTCCCATAGCTCAGATGGTTAGAGCATTGCTCATAACAAGCAAGGTCCGGGTTAGAGTCCTGGTGGGGTTGGCATTCTTTTTCTCTTTTCAGGCAGTTCGCTTCCCCGACTGATCCTTTGAAACTGACTTTACTTCTCTATTTGTACCATTCTGAATTCTGTGTTGGTACAGTTCTCAAGCTGAGCAGTCTCGCTCAGTTAAAGGTGCTGTACTTCAGCCTGTACCTGTCATCTTTCTACCCGCATGTGGAGGTTAACAAGAAACTCCTGAAGCTGGTGAGAGCGCTTACTTTCAGCCGGTATCTGGATCAGCTGCGAATTGCCCATTTCCACGGCTGGCTGTCCGAGGTCGGGCCGCGCAAGGTCATTGCTGCCGCCCGCAGCCTAGTCCCTGATAAGTGCGTGCTGAGCTACGTTGCCCTGGAGACGGGCGTGGTGGAGCTGCTGGGACTGGTGCTGAGGCCGGACACGCTGGATGCAGTGCCCTGGGATCATCCCGAGATCATTCAACACTGCAGTATGGTTATCACCGGCCACACTGGCGGCGGTGGCAAAGGAGAGAAGGCCAACGAGCCAGCTGCCGCTGACATGTCGGCAAGCCAGCACCGAGACGACTTTGTCTCCGTCTGCCTGCAGTCGCCGTTCGACTCGCGCTCTACGCATTGCGTGCGCGTGAACGCCGCGACGCTGCGGGAGCGAGGACTGCGTCCGGTCTTGTTCGGCTTGGTGCCGGCTCACAACAGTGCCGCTAACAGCAACCTCGTTATCGGGCCCGGAGTGATGCTGCAAAATGCTGCGCGCGTCGAAGGGTGGGAGACTGCGATTGTAAGTGTAATTTCTCTCTGTATGGTGTATATGCTCACCCTCAAAGGCACCCTGTCCTTGTTATGTGTACTGAACGACATGGTGATGGATTAGCTCCCTGGCAGTTTGTAAGCTGAGGCTGCGTTTGTTCGGTGTCGTTCCAAGTCATTCCAAAGTCATTCCCCAAAGTTGTTTTTTGTTCTGGCGCGTTTGTTTGGCACGATTCCAATTCCGGTCTCGATAAGAATGGGGTAGGATCAATTCTGGCGATTCCAAAGAAAAACTGCAATAAGTACTCATTCCGCGCGGAATGAAAATGTGTGGTAGGCAGCTGCAGCACTTTCCAATCTCAGGGTTGACAGTCTACCTATTATTTTTTATAAATTGGAAACAGGGAGTCCGTTGGTGATGACTGGTGGTTAAGATTCAGAGTAATGATGTCTCCGGTGTCCATGATGCTGGCAAAGGGTTTTTTGGCCATCTACAGCACTCTAAACGCAGTTCCCCTCATGCGAAAATGTTGGGTCGAGCCTTCGTATGCACTGGTGCTGTAGTTGTTCATGGTATTTTGTCCCCCTGCTGCCTGAGAAAGTGTTGGCCGACGATATAAACTGAACAGGTGCCCTCCCTATTCTCGTCATTGCAATGGAAGGCTGGCTTGGACGGTCTACGGAGAGAAGTCAGAACTGTATATCTGGTGCGAAGATCCATAGCATAATTTGAACGTGCACCACTCCTGAAACTTCTTAGAACTGCAGTGCCTTTTCTCTTTGGATCTCTTCAATTTTGTAGTCTGTAGGCGAGGTCGAATGTTTCGTTTTCTGAGTTCTCTTGGCTTGAACAGTGTAGCTACTACTCACTTCACCGCGCTCTTTGCGTTTCCGTATGCGATATGGGCGCACCTACTTCTTTGTGCAGGTACGAGCGTCTGCGGCAGTTTCACTTCTAGAGTTCCGCAAATTTTTCCCAGAATCCCTAGTGCACGCGGCCACCATTTGCCGACAGTGCAGTGTCCATAGAGCTGTTGGTGCGGAGGGAAATGATCTCGGTGTGGCAACTGTGTTGCATTGTTCATCCCAACTGTACTGGTGTGTTCTGCAAAGGATTTCTCGAGCATTTTAGTTTTTGCCGTGCAACATGCCTCCCACTGGGTTATTCCCTGTGTTAGCGGCCGCCGTGAGTTCCCTCTTGAACGGAGACGAAAATGTACTCTCTCTTTTTTTTACGTGCCCCGTCCTGGTCCCATAACTGAGATGTTTAGTATTGTTAATAGGGGTGAAACGAAGGTCTCAATTTTCCAAACCAACCTTCTTCATCAAAACGAACAAAGGTGTCGAAGGATTCTTTTACCAGTTCACAGTTCCCATTGAAGCTCACTCTGTGCATGTGCCCTACAAAGTACATGACTGTACTTGAGTACACATATTTGCTGTGCAGTCACCACAAGTGGCACGACCATAGCTTCCGCACTGCGCAGTTTGCAACCCCAACTGCCCAAGACTACTTCTGCACGCCGTGGCTGTGAATAGTGTGCGTTCAAGCGCAGTCCGTGGCCTGCTATGCACTTGCAGTGGCACTTACCGAAAGCTGACTGGAACAGGACTAGTTGACTGTACAGACTACAGTACAGTACACGTACACATGCAAGATCAGTGCATATGTGCATGAAGAAATCGTGTGTTGACCTTTGTTCGCCTTGGTGTGAATGAAAACGAAGGATCTTCGAACCTTTGACACCTCCGTTTCACCCCTAATTGCTTATGGCAAACAAGGCCCCAAGTTGGAGTCCTGGAGGGTTTGGCATTTTCTCGCCTTTCTGGCAATTCACTAACTGTTTGCCTTGGATTTGAAGTTTCGATATATTTTAACAAGAATTCCCCTTTAAATCCTTTCGACATCTGCCTGTCACTTCTGTATTTACCTGGACTCGTAATTCTTTTTTGCCTCAATGGTTTTCTCCGTTTGTACTTCTTTGCTTGTTTGTATGTGTACAGGTGTTCACCGAGGAACTTTCTGGCCGTCCGATCGAAGACATGGCTAAAATAATGAAAAAGAAACTGGACCTCGCTCTTGAGTGGGAGACGGACCGCAAGGTGTGGCAGCGTGATGGTCTTCTCTTCGTTGGCTGAGTTAGTTTGTCGGTCAGTCATCGCTTCTGTTTTCCCCGTTTAATGGCTCGCGGGACGGCACATGTGCCCTGTGACCGTACCGTCTACCCGAGTGATGAATCAAGCCTGAGGAGACTTGGTCAGTTTTTGCCAACGTCCATCCCGGCCTCTACTATACATGTACACACTGTGGGTAGTAGTGGTGATGTAGAGACTGCGCTGCCGTGCATGTCTTAGCGCTCTTGGAGTTTCACTATTTCCGCAGCGGCAAGCAGTTAGTTTCCTTTGTCCTGCGACAGTGACCGTCCGTGCATGTGCGCGTGTGCGAGTCGCTCTCATAGCGATGTGATTGTTGTGTCACGCTGTGTCATGAATCACAACCTCGGTACTCGCCCTGTTTCCCGGATCACAGTGTTCCGCAGTGCCTCTAGCATTGTCTGGACATTGCCTCTGGACAAGACTGCCAGATTTCCAATTTACACTTTCTTGTACCTTATACTAGGGGCTAGTAGCTCTTCCAGATTTCTTATGTCTTAGGCCGTTCACTGCGATGTTGTTGAAGGACATGTCAGATACTAAAATATAATTGTATTTGTTCAGTCTGCAAGGCTGTTGTTCTGATTACTCTTGTTGAGCTATACTTGACTAGTCCTCATGAGTTGTCGACTCACTACTCTCATGCAGCATGTTGCTATTGTGAGTCGTGCCTGTCTTGGGAGCTGGATCTCTGTTTCGAACCACTGCCAACAGTTTGAAACGAAGACGTGCGCACACGTGTTTGTGTGTGTGTGTGTGTGTGTGTGTGTGTGTGCGCGTGCGTGCGTGTGCGTGTGTATGTACATGTATGACCTGGTATCAGCAATTGCCCATGGGGTCGCCATGTAAAACATGACCTTTGAGTTTGTGCGCTGCTGGAGATGTCACTGATATCATTTTGTAGCAGAGTACCGTTATGACCAGTCACCAGGGATTAGTAAAATACCGATATTTTACTACTCCTGATGGTGACTTGTCTGACACACAAGATGACCACCCGAACAGGTTTTATCTGGATTTTGGAAGTACATGCTCATCAATGAGTTGTAGCAGTGGGGGAGACAGTGCGGTGTATGTTTGTATGCATTGCACCTCTGCCCAGCGGGCTTTGCGAAATTTGGCTTTCGATTTCTGTTGGGAGATGTAAAAATGGGCCCAAGGAGTAATAGCAGAAGTATGTACTCTTCCTAGCAAGAGTTCATATGAACTCTTGTTGCTAGTAGGAGTAATAACTGTTGTAAAAAGCTGACTGTTTTCTCGCACATCTGGCAAGAGCAAGATCTCTTCGCTTCCTTTGGCGGGGCCCGGGGGGGGGGGAGAGATCCCGCACAGCCCGGTAGATCCGGAGGGCGGTAGGCCGGCCAGAGTCTACAAGTCCGGAGATCACCGCGCCAAGCGTTTTTTGCTTTGCGATTTCAGAAACCGCGCAACGCGATACACACACACACACGATCCGGCGTGGCCAGCTTCTTTTTTGCGGTACGAGCTCGTAGGTCTACGAGAAATGTTGTGCGCTAGCACATTGCGTACAAAGTACGCGCATACGATGCTTCCGAAAAAGAAGGAAAAATAGACCTGAATTTCAGGTTGCAGAATGTAGAGTGAATGCCCAAACTGCCAAGGACAGAGAGAAAGATTAGGAACAGAGTGAGTGTAAAGTCGATGGACGGATCTGGAAGGGCCCTTCTGTAACTTGTGAGAAGTTTATGACAGAAATGGTTTTCGGCAAGATTGGAATGTGATTGTGTTGATGTTGACACCATGGCGCAAAGCATCACTTTAGAAGTTGCCTTGAGCAACGTTGAGCGTCTGAGTAATCTGATTCTTGCTGACGAACAGCCGAATATTGAACCACAGCCTGCCTCGGTTGTGTATGATGTTTCCTTCGATACTAACTTCGAGGATCGAAATGCCTTTGTTTCGGGAAATGCGAAGTTCATGGAGGAAGCCACGGCCCACTGCGGTCTGGTAAGAAGCTTACGAAGTACCTTTCCAGAAAATTATTTGACAGAAATGTCAAGATACTGAGGAATCATTTTCCTGGTACATTTGCTATGTTGGCTGCAGAGCAAAGTGCTGAAGAAGGGTGACGAGTATGCGTCAATGCTGTACACGTGGAGAAGCTGTTCCAGAGCTGTTCCTGCTGTAAGTATAGTGCCCCACAGCATACAATGTACACAATGATTATAATTATTTTTGTTTTGAAAGGCAGTGAAACTGAATTTTTCAACATTTCGTCACAGATTTGCTTTGCTGTAGTATGCCTACGAGATAGAAGTCACCGGAAATGAACCGTTCGCCCACTGGATTTCGAGACTGCACCGTTCCTTTCATGCACCAAGATCACACTGCAGCACTGGCTCACATGCATTTGAAACCTGAGAATCCGCAGCAGCGGTGTGCCGCTAGATCACAACGTGTATCACCATGGGAACCGCAAATAGCAGAACTCCCGCAGTGGCGGAACATTCAGATCCACTGCCTCCAAATATTTGGGAGCGGACACTACAGTGGTGTCCACTGAAATGTGACCCCTTGATTTTTACATTCAAGTGCTGCAGAGCTGAAACAAATAATTGATTTTTACATTCAAGTGCTGCAGAGCTGAAACAAATTGATTTTTACATTCAAGTGCTGCAGAGCTGAAACAAATTGATTTTTACATTTAAGTGCTGCAGAGCTGAAACAAATTGATTTTTACATTCAAGTGCTGCAGAGCTGAAACAAATTGATTTTTACATTCAAGTGCTGCAGAGCTGAAATAAATTGATTTTTACATTCAAGTGCTGCAGAGCTGAAACAAATTGATTTTTACATTCAAGTGCTGCAGAGCTGAAACAAATTGATTTTTACATTCAAGTGCTGCAGAGCTGAAACAAATTGATTTTTACATTCAAGTGCTGCAGAGCTGAAACAAATTGATTTTTACATTCAAGTGCTGCAGAGCTGAAACAAATTGGTTTTTACATTCAAGTGCTGCAGAGCTGAAACAAATTGATTTTTACATTCAAGTGCTGCAGAGCTGAAACAAATTGATTTTTACATTCAAGTGCTGCAGAGCTGAAACAAATTGATTTTTACATTCAAGTGCTGCAGCGCTGAAACAAATTGATTTTACATTCAAGTGCTGCAGAGCTGAAACAAATTGATTTTTACATTCAAGTGCTGCAGAGCTGAAACAAATTGATTTTTACATTCAAGTGCTGCAGAGCTGAAACAAATTGATTTTTACATTCAAGTGCTGCAGAGCTGAAACAAATTGATTTTTACATTCAAGTGCTGCAGAGCTGAAACAAATCGAAGCGAGTAGTGTGCATGCTCCTGGTATGCAAGCAAAGCATGAAGATCACTTCTGACGTGCATTCTCTGGTTTTGCATATATACATCGTACTGCACTTGACAGCCTTGATCTAATTCCCGCCCCCTGCCGAAAACCCAGTTGGAAAGCGACATGGCTGGGGAGGGGGGGGGGGGGGGATCAACAGTACTTTACGCCAACTGCAAAGCACAGCTGTCAGTATGAACATAACATACAATGTAGTGCAACAGTTCAGATATGCATGCACGCCCAGCCAATCCTGTGAGGCTGGCATGGTCGCATGCTGTGTTGGTACACAGCAGCGCGAGCTCCAGGGGTCGGATTTCAGTTCCCAGCACTGTAGCACTTTCCTACGGAAGCCCCGCTGCTGTGACAGTTTGCAATTTGTGTTTTTTTTTTGTGCGCTTTTGCGGTGTGTTTCCTTTCCACACCTTGTAAAAAGATTTCAAACTAGAATGCCATCATAAAGCCAAGACTCTAGGTTTGAGAATTTTATAATCCACTCGTGTGTTTTGCATCAACCACAATACCACAACTGCGCTCTCCGACCGATCTCGGTAGCGTGCTGTGGCCGCATGTTGGGGTGGGCCGGAGAGCGCAGCTGTGGTGTGGTGGTGGATGCAAAATAATCTGTTCAAGGCTTAATGCTGCTGCTTGCCCTTTGTGACTACGTGCTGCACTTGTTGGTAGAAGAAGAAAAAAAACTTTGTAGCAGTGGTGAGGCTTCCTGCAGCTTCATTCCCAAGATCGGGTATAAGAAAACTATGAAGAGGGATACACCGCGGTACTGGTGCGTATCGGAGAAGTCGTGAGTGGAGGCCACCTGAAAGCCTGCGAAAGACAACATGGCCTTTGCTACGAAGCCAGGGAGCAAGACATCGAAGGAGGTTGTGCGGCGTTGACGAGCAAGAAGGTCAAGCATGCGCGCGTGCGAGCGTGCCCGCATTATTGATGTGGGTAAATGTGTGGTTCGTAGTACTTCGTACCTGTTACGACAAAAAGTCCGTTCTTCCAGAAGGATGCTGAAGCATTCTCAACCAAACTCACCTGCTTGATAACCCGAGGCGAAAGGAACCAACCAGCAATCTCAAGAACGACTTTGGGTTGCACCCCGCCAACATGTGCATGTAGTTAGTACATGTGTATGCATGTGGCTGGTTGTGCAAGTGAATTAACTATGCATGTGAGACCCTGCTTGTATTTTGTCGCAGATTGGTGTGATACCATAAAGGTACTCCCAAAATCTTGTCACCACTGGATCTGTTTTAGTTGATGCGACCCTAGCCTTACAAAGTCTCAAGTAGTTTACAATGAGTTTTAGTCCCATTGCGCACGTCAGACCTTGTGGATCACCCATGCTGATCCGTGCGTATTACCTATGCAATAAAACACCCATACAATCATGTTGTTACAATCGACCCCTTGCATTCATGTACATGTAGGACAGAGAGTTGTGATGACTTACACATGGAAACAACACTGGCAGTGAGCTCTCTCTCTCTCTCTCTCTCTCTCTCTCTCTCTCTCTCTCTCTCTCTCTCTCTCTCTCTCTCTCTCTCTCTCTCTCTCTCTCTCTCTCTCTCTCTCTCTCTCTCTCTCTCTCTCTCTCTCTCCCTCTCTCTCCCTCTCTCTCTCTCTCTCTCTCTCTCTCTCTCTCTCTCTCTCTCTCTCTCTCTCTCTCTCTCTCTCTCTTCTCTCTCTCTCCCTCCCTCCCTCCCTCCCTCCCTCCCTCCCTCCCTCCCTCCTCCTCTCTCTCTCTCTCTCTCTCTCTCTCTCTCCTCTCTCTCTCTCTCTCTCTCTCTCTCTCTCTCTCTCTCTCTCTCTCTCTCTCTCTCTCTCTCTCTCTCTCTCTCTCTCTCTCTCTCTCTCTCCCTCTCTCTCCCTCTCTCTCCTCTCTCTCTCTCTCTCTCTCTCTCTCTCTCTCTCTCTCTCTCTCTCTCCTCTCCCTCTCCCTCTCCTCTCTCTCTCTCTCACCCTCTCTCTGTTTTGGGCCCTGGGTCAATACATGTATACCGGTGATATAGTTCTGTTTTGTTTTGCTTACTGTCTTGATGAGGTACAGCTACTACCCTGCACTTCAGGCAGAAGTGATCTATTGAATTTATATTCCCCGTAATCTGACTACCCATCCATGTGTATGCAGGTGAAGAGCAATGAGCAGGAGAATCGACTGGAGATCTACAAAGCAATTATCGAAGTCCTCCAGCCGGAGGTCGACAAGCTGAAGGCGTTCTTCCGCTTCCAGTCGGAGGCCATTGGTATCTTCTGTGGCGAAGTGAAGAAGCTTGCCCATGAGAACCGCCGGAAGGATTTCATTTCCGAGACGTATCTCATGCGCCTGGCCCAGTTCATCGATATGTTCTCCGTCCTGGATGCTTTGAAGAACATGAAGGCATCCTTGAACAATGACTTGGCAGCATTTAAAAGGTTCGGGCTCTATTCGTTATGACTAGGCTGCTTTTTTCATTACCCTCCGATCTTGTCTTGCATTTTGGGTTAATTTTCTTGTTTCCTGCATCTCCCCACGCATGTGAATGAAAAGTCACTACGTCTTTGTAGAGTACCGTTTGGCCTGACCACTGTGTCGATTTGTGGACCCTGTGATCTCTTGCAGAAAAGTGAAAAAGTGAGGTGGGGTGATGACTGCAACCGGCAATCAGATCAATATCGGGAAATTACGAACAGAACTCTGTCTTATTGCAGTGCTCTGTATCAATGTTTGCATGTGTTTTGGTGCAGAGCCGAGGGCTTTGTGAAGCAACAGCAAGGCGGTGGTGACCAGTCGTCCATCATGGAGCTGCAGACACTCTCCATGTTCTTGGCTACCAACAACAAGCTCACGATGAACTTGAAGGAAGCACTGGACGAGGTATGTGTAGTAGGTGGAGGCAAACTCATCCGTGAATCTGAGCAGGACCGAGCAAGGTTTGAGCATGCTCAGTATAAAGAGTGTTCGACTGATGGGTCCAATATCTAAATATCAAGAAAATGCATGTTTGGGGTGGCAGGTGGTCAATGTGAATAAAATAAACGTCTACATGTATGCGTGGGTGATTTGTTGCCAAAATATATTTACGCCACAGGGTTCACACGCTGCACCTATCTTGAGCTGTGATGGACTCAAGGCACAACGGAACCTCTTCATTGCACCTTTTTGGCATGAGTATGATCTTTGATCAAGCGTAGGCCTTTCCGGACTGGTCATGTACGATACAATGTCCGTTCATGTTGGTTCAGTATGCATGGATTCACCACCCGTTGTTCTGCCACAAGTACCATAGCTGCGATGTAGAAGTTCTTTTCAGTTGTGATTTGGCCACACTTGATGACAGGACTGGTCAAGCCAAAGCTTGTTTGTTGCATCCTGGCGAGCTTTTGTACAGATACTTCTCGTGTGGAAGTGTCATATTGTGTTTGCCCACAGAAAACACAGGGGCGCCACTGTTTCCATGTACGTTTCTGACTGTGTGTGTGTGTGTGTGTGTATGTGTGTGTGTGTGTGTGTGTGTGTGTGTGTGTGTGTGTGTGTGTGTGTGTGTGTGTGTGTGTGTGTGTGTGTGTGTGTGTGTGTGTGTGTGTGTGTGCATGCATGTGCGTGTGCGTATATGTGTGTGTGTGTGTGCACTTGGAATTTTTTTATGCTTATAATAGATTCCTTCCTATGAAGATATCCTTATTGAGGTGGTCAGCCTGTGTTGTAATCTGTACGAAACCAAGCGCTACATCGTGCCGAGTGCAAAGCACACGATCCTCAAGGTCATTGGCTTCAGTGTGGTGCTCATTGATGGCAAGACCAGTATCTACAAGCTGGCCAGCAAGGGCAGGATCAATCTGCAACGTATCGACAAAATCTTCAAAGTACGATGACTTCTAAACTCATAAGTGTGGTGATTTTTTCGTACTCCATTTGAACTGTTTGTGCTCAAATCATGAGGTCTGGTGTGCTTTTCATGCGATGCTGTGAAGATAGCAGAACAGCGTCTGCTGCACAAGCAGTCATCTCTTAGCACTGTTGAAACTTCAGGTTTTTGCAAGCGAATGCTCTTCTTCTTCTTGTTGACCGAAGTGTGTACACTGTGTGACATTGGCGTTGTCCTGTTCATCCTGCTCTGCAGCAAACGCCGGTCGTTCCGCTGTTTGGAGACATGCAGATCGCGCTCGTGTCGTACATCAAGCAGACTCCGAACTTCAACGCCTCCCACTGGACATGCTTGACGGAGCATGCCGAAGAGAAGGCGGCGTTTGTGTCCTACAACATCCTGGCCAAGATCGACACCATTCGAGCAGAGCATCTTAAGTACATCTCCGGACTCACACGCACGATAAACAATGTAAGTTTCACCCTACCCTGCCATGTTTTTTTCTCCTGCTTGTCAGCACATGCAATGCACTGTTTTCGATTCTTTGTTCTGAAGCATGCGCCGAGTCATTTGCAAGCCGTAGTGCCTTCAAGACATGGTGTTTGGGCGCCTTGAAGACATTGTGTGTGTTCTTTGCCTTCGTTGCTGCTCCATTGCAGATTGGCACAGCAGACAAGTGGACAGACAGACAAGTACGGGAGCTGACTGACTTGGCTTTGCTCGGTCTAAAACACATTGGCAGTTGGACAACTCATATTATCGAATTGGTAAGCCAAAACCTCCTAGAAGCTCAACATAGATGCCATAGTGGCCAACATGCAGTGTGGGATGTTGTTGCTGCTGCTGCTGTTGTTGTTGTTGTTGTTGTTGTTGTTGTTGTTGTTGTTGTTGTTGTTGTTGTTGTTGTTGTTGTCACCCATGCTTCGGTGGCTCCTTCTTTAGTCACTTTCTTTTCGTGGAGTTAGTTTTCTGTCCGGCAATACATAAGGAGCTATGCACTCAACTAGCTCTTATCCAGGCAACTTGAGGCCAAAGGGCATCTGTTACTCAGGACACTTTTGTTACGTCGTATTGAAGTTTGCTACTTGTAGACTGATGTAGACTGATGGTGCATGCATGTGGTAGTAAGAATACAACTCAACTGACTCAGAATGCTGCCCAGTTGAGAGAGATGCCAGGGCATGGTGGATCAAGATAGGGAGAGTTTAACACATCTGTGGTAAGCCATGTTTTCCGCTTGGCACTCTTTGCTGTGCTAACTAGAATGCGTGGAAGCTTCTCCATCCGGTTGACAAAGGAACAAACGACTGTCCAGAGACTGCAGAGGAGTATGAGAGGGTAAGTGCTGCCCGTTGGTACACGCCATGTTCATTAATCGTTCAAGCCTGATGCCCTGCGCTACTCTGTAGGATGCACACTGGCACAAGTTGCACAGCTTACGTGGATGTGTGCATAACTACCAGTAGTATGTGTGATAAACTGATGATGGCATCTGACAGTCGCGTGTCAATTAGCACTGCGTGGCGAGCTGTGCCTTGAACTACATTATACTTGATGAAGCACTTTCCATCCTTCAGTATAGTGTTGACTGCATTGTTAACCGGTATGTGCTTGTCATGTTCGTGTGTAGGCCACCCGTTACAACTACTCCAGCGAGGAGAAGTTTGCACTGATTGAGGTGATAGCCATGATCAAGGGGTTGACCATGTTGCTGACGCGTCATCAAGTCATCTTCATCGACGCCATCAACCGATACGTACACAAAACGTTCCAGACGTTCATCCTGCACTCTATGCGTGATCCTATTCGCTTTGCCACGAAAAAGAAGAAGCATCACGTGAAGATGTAAGTGAGCGAGAGCTACCCGGGTCAACGTGGATCAGTTGTGCTGCTTCCAAGTTTCGTGTGTGTGGGGTGGGGTATGAATGGGTGGGTGGGTTTGTTTGCACGCATATGAGCTGTCGGTACGTTGTATTGAATTACACCTCATTGCCTACTTGCGTTGTTGGTTTGCAACACCCAGGATGTTGATTGCGCTGAGAGAAATGTGCGCTGACTGGCCCAGTGGTGTTGAGAATGACCAGGACCCTTGTCTGCGCGGTGAAAAGGATCCCAAGGGAGGCTTCCAGATCGAACTGTCGCGCAGATCTGTGGCACCTTCATCAACTCAGGTTAGTCTAAGCGTGGACTACACGCGCTCTCCTCTGACACGATTTGCTAGTGTTTGTTTTCTGGCCCATACTCTATTGATTCCATATTCTTCAGGCTTGAGTACAGCAATGATGTTACAGTACAAGTTTAATCACCTTTGGAGGAGCCCACTTCACCTCAGTTCACATCTACAGTTTGCTCCCGATAAATCACACACTTGCGATACGTCACACACTCGCGAGAAGTCGCACGCTTTTGCAAACTAGAGGGCACATGCTTATGAATAATTTTGCAGACAGTATACATGTACCGTCACACCCTCCCGACAATAATTCACCCTTTTTGTCACCGGGATCGAGCGCGTGACTTATCAAGAGTAGACTGTATAAAATCTGGTACTCTGACTTTGTTCTGGCTGTTTGTGTTGTTGCTTTGGTAGATACACTGGCTGTATAACAGTAGGGTAGCTCTGGCTGGACTAGCAGCAATTTCAGCCATCTGCATTTCAGTGTTCTCCGACTCTCTTTCTCTCTCTCTCTCTCTCTCTCTCTCCCTGTCACTCTCTCCCTGTCACTCTCTCCCTGTCACTCTCTCCCTGTCACTCTCTCCCCCTCCCTGTCACTCTCTCCCTCTCTCTCTCTCTCTCTCTCTCTCTCTCTCTCTCTCTCTCTCTCTCTCTCTCTCTCTCCTTTTGTGGGTTCCTATGTATCTCTAACAAGACATTGCTACCCCTGCCTCTCTCTGCAGCTGTACATGTGCAGAACATTTGCGGAGCACTTGCTATCAGACAAAGGTGGCAAGAAGTCTCTTCGCGCTGAATTGGACGGCCATGGGATTGGTGATCTGGAAGAGTTCCTCAAAGTGTCTTTCTTCTTCCCGCACCTGATCAATTTCAGCCGTAAGTTAACACGGATCTTGCAGGACAGTGGCGTTGTGTGATTCTCATTATACCGGTAGATAAAGGTGCTGCCAATGCTGCAATGCCGGTGTGCATGGACGTTTTCTCCAGGGATTGCAACTCTGGGCGCTATTCCTCATTTTGCGTATCTGTAATCAATCAACATCAAGCTCTGCAGTATGGCTCATGCCTGTCCTGATTGGTTCTTTCCATTACCTGCTTCATCTTGTTTGCGTCTAGACGTGCTGCAAGAAGCGTCAGATCTCTCCCAGCTTTGGTACAGGGAGTTCTTCCTGGAGTTGACGATGGGAAAGAGAGTGCAGGTGGGTCAGGTGTTGTCTATTCACATGCTTGTACAGTATCCGTGTGTGATGTGCTGCCCAGCCTGTCCTGGAAAGCATGCTACGTACAGTGGAAGATCATTACTCTACAGTGCTGGCCAGTGACATCCGGTCGAGTGAGTTAGCTTTGCGCCCAGCACCAGTGAACGCCCCAGTGTTCGCAGGTCTAGGGCCGCACAATGCCCGGCGTGTACAGTCCGTATCGCCTATAAGGTTGGCGGCTATAGTAATATACCGGATATAGTGATCAATTTCTCAAATTCATTTTCACTTGCCATAACTAAGTATACACAGTTATCGCGTATAGTAATAATCGTCTATAGTAATATATCGCCTATAGTGATCAAATTCTTATTTCAAAAGACCTTTATTACATTATGTTTGCATTGGTTATAGTGATTGATGTAAAATCAAGCGATGTTAGAGGAAAACAGGGTGTTACTTCTTCGTGAAGAACTTGTCCAGTGAGTGTTGTTTGGTGAGTTTTGCTCGCACAAGTTGCCAAAATATGCCTCCATTGTGAGGAAATGCTGATTTTCTGTGTCAGGAGCTACAGCCAGCTACATGACATTGTACATGTATGTAGTGCGTATGTTCACGGCGCGCTGAGTCGTTTGACACCCCACTCGCATACATTGCATGCAGTATCGGTCATAGTAATATATCGCTCTAATAGGGGTCGTCCGTAATTTTCGAAAAATTAAAAAATCCGTCCTCGTGCAAAATTGTCTCTGACCCACCCACCCACCCCCCAATTTTTCCCATTAATTTTTTGATTTTTACCGATGTCCAGCTCGAAAATAAGAACTCCTGACCCCACGTTTTCTGACTGCACCTGTGTCAAGTACTAGTAGCTAAGTCCAGTGAGTAGTAGGTCTACCGGCGTCACGGCCATGCACCGTCCTACAACTACATGAAAAGTCATGTATATCATAGTAGATACTGGTGTTTGCGACAATCGATCCTACACTACGTCTACAGTACAGTACACAGTCAGCAATAATAAACTGGAGCGAAAAAAGAAAAAAAAATGTATACTTGTATCAGTGCAACAAGTGTATGAGTCACTGGAGTCACTATGAGTCACTGGAGCGAAAAAAAAATACGAAAAATCAAAAAATTAAATTCCGCCAGCACTCTTGACCACCCACCCCCTTTTTGCCTGAGGACGGATTTTTTAATTTTTCGAAAAATACGGACGACCCCTTATAGTGATAAAATGCTCAAAATCAAACACCAACGCTATAGGCGATACTGACTGTACTTGACTCACACGATCGGATTTCATGGAGCAGGACTGTGCATGTACACATGCTCAGTATGATAGGAGCAGAGAATCGCATGCATGCCGTATACAGAAGCACAGTGCACTATATCCATCCGACCATACATGGCCGTTGTCTGGTGGAACATGGAGGATCATTGTCAAACGACCCTTTTCTGCCTTCAGGCACATGCATGTACTTGCTGTCGATAGTGTTGTTCTGTGGGCAGTACAGCCCCTACTTGGTGTTATTAGTTACCTCTTCTCACAGAGCCAATTGAGGAACAAGGATCGAAATTTTCAACTCATTCATACTTGTATTGTCTACATTGGAATCCTAACATATTTCTTGTGTTGTTGTTGTTGTGTCTGTCTACTGTAGTTCCCCATCGAGATGTCCCTGCCCTGGATCTTGACTGATCACATTCTCGAAACAAAGGATGCCTCCATGATGGAGTAAGTTGAGTGCAGTGCGTGCCAGGCAGCCAATGCCGATGCACAACTTTCACTGCTTTATTTGCCGCTCTTCACCCCAGGGGATTGTGGACGCACTGCACAATGTAGTGCTGCTGCCTTTGCATAGTCATGCCGGACTCCTTCTGTAGTTCATTACCCATGACAACTACAGTGTCTGCACATTCACAGCAATGTGCTGTAGTAGTGAGCCAGGTGCCAGCACCGTCTTTTATTGCAGTTGTGTTCGAATGGTCCCGTTTTCAGACTAGTAGCTACAGTGCTGCTGTGCAAAGAAATCCGGTTGTGTGAGTCGCGTTTTCGCCCTGCACCAGTTCACACCCCAGTGTTCGCAGGTATAGCGCCTGCACACAGACTGTTGATATATGTTTGATATATTTACTGTACATGTGGTACAAAGTACTTCGAAGTAAGCCATAAGCACAGCTGCTTTCATCAGGGTTGAAGCCGTGCCAATCTTGCCTTTCTCCCATCCGCTTACTTGAAAGTTGAGAAACGACATGATCGTGAAATGGTACACATGCCCCTATCATGTTGCATTCCCTGATGCACAGGTGCTGGTGTTTAGTATGGCATGACTGTGCTTATTGCTGTTGTCTTTTGCCATGGCTTTGCCTAATATTACTGCTGACGTCTGTGTGTTGTGTGTTAGGTATCTGCTGTACCCACTGGACTTGTACAGCGATGCAGGGTCGTACGCTCTGCACGACTTCAAGCAGCAGTACCTCTACAATGAAGTCGAGGCTGAGGTGAGTGCTATTACAGGAACGTGCGGTCAGCATCGCAAACAGCGGTACCCGGTCCACGTGTGCTCCTTTGCTGTACTGAATACCCACAATTACTACAGACAACCTCGCGAGTAATAGCCCTTGGTCGGCCCCGAGACAAGCGCTGTTATTCATGAGTTGTCGCTGCTTGCAAAGTTGAAAGTATGAAATGAAATGATTACTAGGTCTGAAGATAGGGTTGGTTCCTTGTTTGCGAGTTGTTATCCATTTTGACTGTACGAGAAAATGTGTCCACACGTGTCTGCTGCTGCTGTGATGCATGTACAACATTTAACCAGAATTGGACTTGGTACTGTATTGATGACTTTCTGGCTGATTTGGTTCAATTGCTTAGCTTGCAGTGTCATTCTATTTGACGTTGTGCCTGATGCCCATGTGTGTGTTATCTCTGACCTCCAGGTCAACCTGGTTTTCGATCAGCTCATCTACAAGCTCAGCGAGCAAATCTTCATCTACTACAAATCCTTGGCATGCAGGTGAGTAACGTTACATGTAGCGAAGGCGCTGTTGCTGCACACTGGGCCGTTTGATACGTTGACATTTTTGGCACGTGCACCAATTTGGGCACATGCTCGCATATCCATTCTCCCGTTTCCCATCCTTTTTGGGGAAGTTTTTCACGGCCAGTCCACTTTTCAGTTTGTAAATTGAGAAGATGGTGTGCAGCACTACACCCTGTTCTTGAATTTACTCAATTGTTCCTTATAAAACAATGCCAAGTATTGCGCTCACTGCCGGTCTGAATTGCTTGCGTGTCTCTCTCTATTACAAACCAAGTTTTATCCAGGGCCACTTAGCCTTGATAAGTGCCTGTTTGTGATCGAGAAGTCCAGTGTGGCAAGGACGGCAGTGGCCAGATCATGCCAATTGCCCTGAACATGGGTGCTGCTAAGTGCCTGTCCCCTCTGCCATGTTATAGGCATGGAGCCTATCATTATTTGTAACCTTTGTTTGGAGTGCTTGATGGTTTTCTTACAAGTAATTTGCCATGTATTTGACTGTGCTCGTCGTTCCCATCCAGCATTCTCCTGGACAAGAAGTACCGAGCAGAGCTGGGCTCAAGTATCCCGTACCCACCCGCTGCACATTACGAGACCATCATGTTGCAACGTCACGTCCAGGTCAGCAGCAAACATGTCTCGTCTGTACACTATGATAGTGCTTTTTGCTAGGCTGTAAGCACAAGTAGTGTGCTTGTCAGTGTGCAATACCTTGTGTGCATGTCAACCATACCTTCAGTACTGCTCAATGAAATTTGATGAAGTGAGTTGCACGCCGCGGGGTCTGGCCAGCCCTTAACCTGCGAACACTGGACTGCGAAATGGTGCAGGGCGTAGGCTTGACTCCGGCGATCAGATTTCATTTATCAGCACTGTACTCTGTCTGAGTACAGCATGGAGTTGTACAATCTGGTGAAGCACAGGCTATAAGTTCTCTGCGAGATGTGACTGCTGCTCTCCTCGTTATTCCTTGTGTTCAATAATTTATGATAGCATTCAAGAAAACAGTTTGCCATTGGCGCCTGCTCCCGCAGAATCTTTCAGAGCTCTTCAATCTGCTTCATTACGCTCCATTATGAACACCGTAACTTTCTTGCTGGATCCTTGCATTGTGTGTGGCGCAGACTAGAGTACTTTGCCTGTGCTTACGACTTAACTGTGTGCTGTTGCATGTCTTGCTTTTGTAGATTCTGGGACGGTCCATTGACATCAATCGTCTCATCCAGCAGCGTCTTCACGAACACTTGCTCAAGGCCAATCAGCTGGCCATTGCAAGATTCGAAAGTACTGACCTGACTGGCATTGTCGTAAGTCCTTGACCGGAGTGCGTGTGTGTGTGTGTGTGTGTGTGTTGGGGGGGGGGGGGGGGAGTTACACAGGCTTTGCTAAATGCACCACCATGATAATTGGAACTAAGTTCTGGGGCTGGGTAATTGTGGATGTTGCCTTGTATCATGCCACCTTCTCACTCATTGATGGTTTTTTTGTCCTTTTGGCATCATTCAGGAACTGGAAATGCTGATCGAGACCAACCGCCTGACACACGACATGTTGCAGGAGTTCTTCGTCCTGGACTCGTTCGAGGCTATCTATCGTGAGGCCAACGAGTGTGTCAACTTGCCGCATGGCCGTGCAGCGCTGCATTGCTTCTGGGAGATCAACACCGACTTCATGCCTAGCTATTGCTATAACTCCACAACCAACCGGTGAGGCCCCGGCCGAAAAGAGAGATCTGCTCTCATCTTTCACAACTGCTAATTAAACTAGTTTAATACTTGATAGCAAGTATGCTAGTTGACGTTGGACCTTGCCGGACAAACCAGAATGGGCTGCTACGGGCCTGTGTACTATAATTTCCCTGTGTGATCTATATCCATTCTGCATTCCGTGAGTGTGTGCTCATGTTGTGTTTCTACTGTGATTGTCTTCTCTTGCCACACCTTGGTGTAGAAGACATGATAACTATGTCACAAGCATGGTAAACAAAAAGGGAGGCTTTTAGACAGCAAGACAGAAGGACATTTTGGGTCTTCAATATCGTGTTTATGCCGTTCTCGTTTTGCACTCTCTTTGTGTAGATTTGTGAGAACCAAGGGTGATAACGAAGCAGGTGTGGATCGTGCAGCAGCGCCTAAAGCAGCCGGTTACTATTTCTATGGAACTAAGGTGAGGGCGGTATATAATAGAGGGAATGTGTTTCAAGTATGGTGCTGGGGTGCGCAATATACCTTGTTGTGTGTTAGACACCGGGTGATATGATTGTGATGTGCGTTCTCAACGCTTTCGTACAGTAAAACCAATCACCCCAATGAGCCACGATAGCCTGTTTGTCCAAACCACGTTATTGCGTACATGTTTGTCTCTCCCCCCCCCCCCCCCCGGTGATGGGGCATTGCATTCTAGTTGAGCTTTGTATACTATTCTTTTCCTTCATGTTGCAAGATACACCTCACAAACGTTCTACATTATGCTTTCATATTGCAGGCTCTTACAACAGCGTACAACGCCATCCAGCGCCTGTACATTGGTTTTGTCGGACAAGAGCACTTTGCCGCCATGATCCGTCTCCTTGGCTACCAGGGAATTGCTATGGTTATGAATGAGTTGTTGAAGCAGATAGAAATTATTGTAAGTTCTGCTTTGTTGTACAGCTGTGTTTTCGTATCGGGGATGTCATTTTCCCTGGACTGAAATGCAAGTCCTCTGTGTACTTCGGAGGCCCTGTCCGCTAACAGAAGCAACCCTTCATTTACAATTGTACTTTTGTATAGTTCATGGAGTGGCAGATGTGTAGTGCTGTGCATGCGATCGTCTCATACCTTCTTTGTATGTGTGTGTGCACATGGGTGCGTGTGTACGTGCGTGCATGTGTGTCTGTGTGTGCGTGTACGTGCGTGCATGTGTGTGTGTGTGTCTGTGTGTCTGTGTATACGTGTGTGTGACTGTGTGTTGTGTCTGTGTGCGCGCGCGCGCGTGTGTCTCTGTGCGTGTGTGTCTGTGTGCATGTGTGTGTGTGTGTGTGTCTGTGTCTGTGTGTGGGTGTGCAGGGCATGCACTAAGGATTAAAATGTGCTCTGACACAATGTCCTGCCACTTGCAAAAATGGCCGGACATGTCCGGACATGCAAATTTTCACATCAAATAAAATCTCGTTTATGTACACTGCCTAAATCAACGCCATGACGCGCCTCAAGCTGGCAGAGCGATTCCATACTCGCGAAAGCCATAATGCTCTTTACATATCAGGTAAGCAATTTCAAACTAACGTCCGACCTTGGCTACTGCTGCGTCGTCAAGTTTGCACAAGGCTCGAGTGATTGGCGCATACTCCATTGGGTTTCCGCTTGACTGCTCCTTGCCAAACAATGCCATGGCACGGCGATGCATTTCAGAAGCAGCATGATCTTTGAAGGATGACGTTTTCAGGTTCCTTGAGCCAACGACGAAGGAGTCAGAAAAATTCTGTGAATTTTATCAACAAAACGGGAACACATCTTACACTTCAAATTATCGACAGCGCTTCAATCTGAGGGACTGCGCTCGTAGCTCAGCCAAACAGAAGTTGAAAGCTCCCTATCATACTTAGCGACCCACTTGTCACAAATGGTCGTCTTGACTCCTCTGGGCTTCTTTCCAAGAGGAGCACCCGCATCAGCGGTGCTTGGCTTTCTCTTGCCAGACGACATCACTAATGACTATGAGACAAAGGATTGACGCGCCTTTTCTTTTTTGTACTTTGCAAAAAAGTGCGCGGACACTTTGTCCGGATGTGTACAAAACATCCGGAAACTGACCGTAAACGGTCGGAAATTGTCCGATGTCCGACCGTTATTTCGCGCCCTGGTGTGTCATGTACATGTGAGTGAATATGGCTCCAGCTTTTTATGCCTAAACCTATCTTTAGAATCATCACCAACATTTATATACATTACATTACAAGGAGCTGTGCCAACACACATGGTGAAAATGAACGCTGGCATGATCGGCGGGTCGGCAACAAGGGCGCATTCCCAGCTGGTTGAGTTGTGCTACTCCCCTTTGACTCACATGTATTGAGGCCTGCACCTACTACTGCTACAAAAGGCTATGGCTGCGCAGAAAGACCTTGCCTTTGATACGTTACTATTTATTTATTGAAGACTTGAGAACAGAAACAAAGCATGTCATGAGAAAACCAACAGGAAGAAGAAGCACACTCAACTAATACGTGTGTGTGCGTGGATGCAATACAACTAGGACGTAATGAATATAGATACACATCAGCCTTCAGTGTCTCTGAGAGCCTAGCACAAACTGATGTGGATAAGGCTGACCTGTACTTGGTTATTCTACTGCCCTTCTTGCCTGTCTGCCACCTACTTTAGGTAAAGAGCAAAGTTGTACCTTACGTTAAAGCCATGTCCGAGGGTTTACCAAAGAACTGTCGGCGACCGCTTGCCTCGTATGGAGTTGGAGGTAAGCAAGTCTCCTTTATGACACTAGCCCTTTCTATCTCAGGATAACAACAGTCACTTCTTTTCTTTAGAACGGATGAACATTCAGTTTTTCTCCAGTATATACGCGTGTCTGAGGTGGACTTGGAAAAATAAGTGTGTGCCCTTCCAAGTCCTTTCCACCCTCTAACGGGTCAGTGTTTCCCTAGCCATTGCCAATACACTGTTGGCAGAGGTTTTTGAGACCCCCATGGTGGCACCGAGCCCTCTTTAGCCATCCTTTTTTTTTCTACAAAATCCACATATCTCCAGACACTGGGGTGAATGATGGAGTGTGGTGGTGGGGCCCATTAAGCTCCGCCGACCAGAGGTCTCGGCTTCATAGCTCCATTTGCCACCCTCTGAGCAGACTTTGGCACACACATGCACCAGCGGGTACAACAGGTAACTTCAGCAACGGCCCAAGCTTAGCATTTTTAATTCGTTGTGGAAAAACGTGTTTGCTAAAACTTTGGACTCGTCAAAGCAGGATTTGATTTCCTCTGTTCTGCATGCCCTGTTTTCTGACTTGAAGTCCTGTCGCTAAATTTTTCTGTCGATGCACGTGTGTGTGCGCGTGTGTGTGCGCGCGTGTGTGTGTGTGTGTGTGTGTGTGTGTGTGCATGTGTGTACTCTCCCCCCCTTGTTTTGCTGCACAGGTGTGCTGCAGTTCTATGCTGCAAAGCTGGAGCCCCTGTTGCAGTACCCGCTGCTGCGTACTGATGTTGCACAGGCCTTTGCAGAGATTGGCAATGCTCTGCTCTTCTGTCTGATGATGGAACACAGTCTGGTAAGTGAAGTTGTTTTCTCTTTTTTTTTTTACTTCTTTACATTCATACCGGCAAGAGTACATATCCCCAAGAGTGTGCAACTGCCTGCACATTCTCTATCCAGTGCTGCGATGGCAGAACTTTACATCAAGTGACATGGCTCGATAGGCTGGCAAACAGTGACGTCAAGAGACTTGAACCCGAAGCAGGGTAGCGTGCAACTCCGTATCTATCATGCACAGAGTGCAAATAATGTGTACATGGTTTTCATGTGGTGTAAAGTTCTGCCACTGCAGACCCCACTCTTGGGGGTTATGTATGAGACCAGTATGCGTGACTTCTGGATGGTTGAGAATCAATCACAAAGCCTTTCACTCCTGCAACACACATACCAACATTGACAGCCGTAAGAGGCAAACCACTCGCGTTATATGGTGCGAGATGCTGCCCTATTCTTCGAATAACTACATTTATCACATGGTACGTGATTGTTGCCCGTACTCCAGCGAATCAGCACCTTTCGCGCCGCGGGCAATAATATGCGATATTGCCCGCAAAAAATAGTTTATTTGCCCGCAAAAAAATAGTTTATTTCAGTGATCGCGTGACTACGACGACTCTATAGACTGTACGACTCTACGACGAGTCGCAGTGTAGCATTGAGACGAAGATGGAATTCTTTTTGGAGATGGACATCCCGGCAATGGACATGGCCTCGGACGTCTGCCGTGTGGTGCTTGCAGGGATCATTTGTTCAGTCAAAGACTCATGTTGGCAGCCTGACCGTCGGTAAGCTTGTGGATAAGATTCAGTTCTGCTCGAAGTGGTACTGTGATCACAAACAATTATTTGAAATAACACAAATTCAACTCAGCGTCGTGCGTTTTCAAATCCTCGCAAAGTCACTGCCTGTGTGTGGTCTTCATGTGCCACGCAAAACTCTTACCAGGCTCATCTGTCCTCTGCCTTCACCTTTGCTTGAACACCAAACACAACAATTCAGGAATGTTTTGCAATGAAAAATACAGCTATCTGGAGCTGAAAAAAAGAAGAAAAATTGTCCTCAGAATTACACACCAGGGAGTCGTCAAATACTTGCACTTGTTGCAGTACTGTATTTGACAACTTCCTGATACACATGTAAACATGAAGAAACTCTTTGTGGTAGCACTCTTAATTTTTCAACTGAAATTATGATTCTGCTGTATTTTATTGTCGTTGCCATGTCATGTCTATTGCTATGACGATGCGGTGCCGGCACTTTTTTCTGTCTCCGTCTTTCAGTACTGTATACTCTCTGATGGCCTGTAGCAGACTTTTTGTTAGGGTGTAGGAGAAATATCTTCATTTTTCCTGTTTTGATAATGATAGCACATCAATATACATTGTGGTCATAATGTGTTGGCATTTGGGCTAATTTCAACAGCAGCCCAATGGTCTGCTCTGTGGGCCATGTGATAAATTTGTTATCGCATGGTTGCTGCGGGCCTTATGGCATATTATTGCCCCTCGAGGTTAGCCCTCGGGCTAACCTCTCGGGGCAATAATATGCCATAAGGCCCTTGCAACCATGCGATAACATATACGTATCAAACCTTGGGTATACTGTTCCGTGTTCATGTCTATGTCTAGTCTCTGGAGGAAGCATTGGACTTGATTGAAGCCGCACCTTTCCAGGGCGTTCCACTGCCCCTCACAACACAGGAAGGTAAGTAGAGATACTTTCTCCGAGGAATTTCTTTCGCCTGCTACCGTATTTTTCGGAGTATAGTGCGCACCTTTGTATAACGCACACCCCCAATCTTCATTGGGGTTGCGCACTTCAATCTTCATTGAAGTACATGCATTTCATATTCGGAGCATAGTGCGCACCTGCGATTTAGGGCCTAAAATAGCACATCTAAAGTGCGCACTATACTCCGGAAAATACGGTATCTTCCCCGCTATACTTCTTCAAAGAGTCCATGACGCAGGAGTATCCATGTGTGACATGGGTCAGCTTTGTGCTCCCTTTATTACGTAACTTGCCTGAATCACGCATGGGAGCAATGCATTCATAATCCAACCCACAATATTCAGGCCTGTTTTAGCATGCCGGCTCGAGTCCTTCGACTCCATGAAGTTTGAGTGTGCAACCAATGTTGTGTCTGAGAGTGAGAGAGTTTTTAAAACTTCCCTACATGCACTCTCAAATCATAGGGAACTTTCCGTCCTATGTACTGTACTATGTATAGCTGTGTGTGCGGTGTAATGTGAGCAGCGTGTCATACATCTGGCTTCGAGAACACTAGAGTGTAAGCACTGAGATCAAAGTTGTGTTTTATAGCCACATGCTATGCTGTAAGGGTTCTAGCCTAGCCCGTTCTTATTTTTAGCGAACACAGCAGTTTCGTTCTTATTCGATGGTACAGTCTTACATGCAGAGTTATACGTCTGAGTGTACAATAGTGTACATTACCGTTTCCGTTCTTATCTGCACAAATCCAGCCTAGACCGTTCTTAAAAATTAGTGAAATTCTAGCCTGGCCGTTCTTCGGCGCCCTACAGTACTGTACTATTGTGTGATGTCTGTGCTCACACCTGTACTCTTGCTCACTTTACTGCACAGAGCAACACCCGCTTGCCGAATTTTTCAAGGAGCAAGCCAAGCTGCTACATATGCTGCCCCTCATTCAGTTGCAGGGAACAAAGCAGGTGAGTGCAAAGAAGAAGAACAATAATCAGCACAGATACATGTATCATGTTTGGTTAGGTGTCCTATAGAGTAGCTCAGACCTGCTCAAGAATGGACAGTATCATTTAAAAACGTCACGGTTTGCGCGGTTCCCGTCAGCATCATTAGCTTGCATGCTATTGATAACTGTTGATAATTCTGAAAGCTTTCGACGGAATGTTGTGCTAATTGGCAACATGTGAAGACAATCGTCATTGCTTGGTGTACAGTAAACCTGCATGCATTCCTCTCACTATTCCTCTTTACCACGCACCAGGTCTGCTCTCTTTCCCTTCCACTCCCCGTCATGTACGGATCAAAGGAATTGCTGTTTACATGTGCGTGTGTATGCATGTGTGTGTGTGTGTGTGCGTGTGCGCGTGTGTGCCCTTCACAGCAAGCACAAACTGCAACGGACTGTGACCTGCTGACGCGAGAGCGTCTTTGCCGTAGTCTCTCAATGTTCGAAGTGGTCTTGGAGAAGGTGAGGGCGATCCTTACCGTTCCCCAGCTTGACCCTATCTTCCATGGGACAGCGCCTGGAAATGGAGTCATGCATGTGGAGGACTGCGTGGAATTCTATCGCATCTGGAGCGTGATCCAGTTCAGCGTCTCCCTGCCGCTCACCGGAAATGAACTTTCACCCGAGTAAGTCTTCATGTGTATGTGTTTATTAGTTTGAGGGAAAATATGCAAACGGGAAAAGTCTGAAGAAAAAATTGACTATCACCACCAGTTTATGTATTCGCTCGGATTTGGGGTAGCTCCAGTGCGGTGGAAAGAGTTTTCACCCGAGTATGTCTTCATGTTTATGCGTTTGCTCGGATTTGTGGTAGCCCCAGTGCGGTTGACAGATATTTAGGGTTGATACGATCATGGTGTGTCTCCACTTGAGCTGTTTCTGGAAAGGCTTGTGGCCAAAGATCATGCTCTTGTGGCCAAGTAAAATGAATAAAGTAAACAGTAACTAACTGTAAATTATTTACTGTTACCGGCCTGAGCCTGAATCATTCTTAGTTTTAGTGCGCCACAATTACTCTGGGACGATGAACGGTTAGGATTGGTAAAAATCACCTTGTGAATTGATTGACATCAGATGAAGCCATGCTGACTCCCAACATGAGCCAAGTTGAATGCACCAAGCGTTCTACTAATCCTTGTCTGAACTCTATCTCCTTTGTATTTAATCTCTCTCTCATACACACACACACTCTCTCTCTCTCTCTCTCTCTCTCTCTCTCTCTCCTGCAGGGATACATTTGGAGACGGTCTGCACTGGGGTGGTTTAACATTCGTGTACCTCCTTGGTCAATTGCACCGATTTGAAGCCCTGGATTTCACTTATCATCTACTGAGCTGCTACACCGGCAAGACGGATGCTAAGAATGCTCCGACAGTCAGTGGCATAGTAAGTACTTCCTCCGCGTCATTAAAATTGTCGCTTCCCAGAGAGATTTTCGAATTTATTTTGTCCACTCGAAGGGCAAAGAAATCAGCTAGAAATTGAGGCAGAGCATTGTCGACGGACCAAGCTTTAGTTTGTGGCCTCCCGCTTCGCTGCACTTGCAGCTAAGGTCGACGTCTTCATCAGACTTTGAGGCAGGCCCTTCAGCACTCAACAATACGCTGAAGAAGACGCGCGTTCAAATTCAGGTCAAGAAACTTCGTTTTCAAGCGATCCATGCCTCCAGGTGGCAGGCGATGAAGGCAAGCTAGCATTTTATTCAAGTACACTGTAACGACCTTCCAGCGGGATAGGGTAAGCACTTCCGCACCTTCTTTCCTTGGCAAGCGCTTCGCTGATTTTGTCGGTGTTTTCAGACCTGCTCGCAGCAACATGCGCCACAAGTAGCGCATTTTAGGAATTTGAGACCACTTTGTTCTTGCCATCGTCAACTTCAGCATTTCGTATTCAGGAGAGATACCAGGGTTCTTATACGCGAGCTTTCAGTCTTGATAAAAGCCCACTCGAACGTTGTGGGACGGCACGAACTCCAGAAAACGAAATGCGCTCTGGGGCGGAATAGTGCGGAGCGCGATGAATTTGCTTGGTGCGGAAGAGAGCTCCGACAAAGGCCGAGACCACCACGGCTTCAGTAATAAGTAGACATTGCGCAGGAAGGGTCGCACCAGTGTTTGAACACAGAAAACAGCGATCCCGACAGTCTGACTAAGACGAGCCAAGTCACAAATATTGCGATGTGCGAAGCGACAATTTTATTGACGCGGAGGAAGTACACGACTGTTCTACTTACAGGGCTGCTCAATGAAATCCGATCGCGTGAATCCAGTTTGCACCCTGTGCCAGTTCACATCCCAACTGTTCGCAGGTCTAGGGCTGCACAGCGCCCGGCGTGGCATTCACGCGCTTGGTCGGATTTCATCGAGCAACACTGTACATGTGCACACTCTACACTATGCAGAGAAACCTGTCTAAGCCAACTGCTCAACGGACCTTACAAATGTGCTGCCAGTGTTCAGGCGGTCGTCTTATCTGGGGTCACTTGACTGGAAATATCATGCATTGTTCCTGGTTGTAGTAGTCCCCTGCTATGTAGGACAGGCGGTATCCCTATCAGAGTGGTCGCCTACGCAGGTGTTACTGTAGCTTCCAAGCACAGTTCTGCTCAATGAGTTACAATCGTGCTGCTCTCGTGCTGCTCAATGAGTTACAATCGTGCTGCTCAATGAGATACACTCGTGCTGCTCAATGAGTTACACTCGTGCTGGCCAATGAGATACAATCGTGCGACTCCATGTCGCACCGAGTACTGTGCAGCGCCAGACCTGTAAACTCTGGGCTCTGCACTGATGGAGGGTGCAAACTTGACTCACACAATCGAATTTTATTGAGCAGCACTGTAACTTACTAACTTAGGCCAGGTTTATCTGTTGAAGATGGGCGCTGGCCCAACGCAACGTTGCTAGTGTGGCATGTGTGTGCGTGTAGGAATAACAACTGGCGACTGTTCATTGGCAAACCCCACCATTCTTTGCAAGAATCACGCATCTGCATAGAGTCCATAAACTTGGTCTTGATCACAGCACATGCTTTGAAAAAATGTTGTATCAAACGTTAGATACCCACTGGTGAGAACGCCTACTCTGCTGTTGTTCAGAGGCATCCAGCATGCTTGATTGTTACGGTGTGCACATGCTCGACCTATCATCGCAGTAGACAGTGGACATAGGTGCTGTATAACATGTTATTTTCGGGTAACTTAAATTTCGGTAATTTCAGCAGAGAAACCAGGTACCTAAATTTAGATTACACCAACATGGCACTGGAGTGTGCACTGTATGTGCAGGGAACGCTGATCACCTAATTCTACATTACACCTGAAACCTGGCAGGTCCCTGGCACCGAAAGTTTGCTACACCTAAAATGACGTGTTTGCAGTAGTAGCACTTCAGCTTGCATGCTAGCTTTCCTGGCTACTACTTGGACTCACAATCTGTTGTTGTGTGTTTCTTGCAACGTTTTGCAGAACATTGACTTATTTGCCGAGCGCATCAAGGCAGTAGCCAAGCTCAATACCAACATCATATCCGTCCTGGATACTTATATCAAGCCGGAAGCACGTATCAAGAGAGTGCCCGAGTACTATGCGCCACCCAGCTTCGAGAGTGCCGAGGGAGTGGGCAGTGAACCAACCTTTGTCATGACGACGAAGCCCGTTGCCTAAGGCACTGTGTGTCGTTGCCACTCTCCTTGTCTTCTCATCTCACTCTCCCTCTTGCGTATAAACACATCACTGATAATTGTTCCTGTCGATATGTTGTCTCGGTATGGATTTGTCCTGTTGTGCTTTTTTCCCCCGCACGCAGTGTCTTGGTGATCGTCCCTATCACGGTGCCTTGGCTGATGTTGTAATGATTTCATAGTGATGTCATGGGCTGATATCATACCTGATATTATAGTGTGCTAGTGGTCTGGCTCGTTGTTGTAGTTGTGTTCCTTGCCAAGTCTTCCGTGAGTACATCATGCTTTTTTAAAGATTTTCCACCGGAGGAGTTGTTCAGCTAAATGTACGCTTTCCTGTATGTAGCCGTGAGATGTACGATGACTGTCGCCATTATAATTTTATCCCACTTAACTTGCTGTTCTTGAGTAGCACCCCATCGTGCACTTAGTAGACCCTCCTCCACTGTTTAGTGTAAGAATTTTGATTGCTGATCATATTGCGCACTTGCTGACCAGCTCATGTAAAACATTAATTCCGTGTGAGCACTTGCTAGCCATTTTTTCTATGAGAGCGTGGTTAAAACTTGATTTGTTTGCCGTACACCGGCTCTTGATCCTCATTTGATGATGCTCATTGATTAACTTACCTTTTTTGTGTGTTGTTTGGGTGTGCTGCATGAGTGGTAGTAAGAAGCGTTTTGTTTGCCCCACCTTCATTTTGCTACCGATACCGGCAGTATTTCAAATTCTAGCTTTGGAGTGCATGGATAATGTAGGTTTGCAGCGTACGGCAAACCGTAGTTATCGCTGACAACCGAGCAGCAGGCAAAAGCCACGCGCGTGGCTAGGCGCGCAACAATGGGGGTGTCTGGCATGCAATGGCGGGCAGCCGTACTGGGGAAAGCCCAGGCCGCAGTACGAGTACGCCCATATGCGCGGGCGAGACTACCCCATATTTGCATAAAGGTATCAGCGCTACTAATGCAATGTTTACTACAAGCAGGGCTCATGGCACCTAATCTCTATATTAGGAAGCAGTTCCTTTTATGGCACGAAAGGACTCCAGCGCGCGTACTAAGCCTCAGCCAAGGTACAGTACTAACCGAGTACGCAAGATAGAACAGGCGGTGTACCGGTGTGGCGGAGCAAACATACCACGTATGGAAGAGGCGAAGTCCCCGGATGCCGCCCGGCCCACAATGACAGACACCACCATGCTTATATGGGAAATAAGGCGCGAGAGCCCACCAGGTAAGGCGGGCCACATAAGCACGTGGCAAGCGCAAATAGCGTAAGACGTACCCACGAGGCCACAACGCGAGAGTACGGCAGCATGAGCAGAGTACGAGAGTACGAGGCCGGATCAACGCATGGCGGACCAAGGTGTGGTAGTGCCACAGCACGAGGCACCTCAGCAGTTGGAGGTGGCGAACGCAGGGACAGCATCAATATTGGCAGCTAGCAGCAGCAGCAGATGGGCGTGATTTTTTTTGTTTCAGAGCGTAAAGTAAATTAAAGTACAGTGTAGCAGCAATTATTATAGTGTGTGGCAGTCGTCGGCATGCCGGCAATGGAGCTGTCCCCAGCACAGCTGAGAGCCATCAGCGAGGCTGCTTCCTCCGCTGTCTGGGCCGCGTGGAACCAGCTAGCGGGCCCCAGTCAGGCAACCGATACCTCTGCGGCGGAAGTCCAAGGTATGGAACATTAGCCAGTGGCGATAAAAGAATGCCCTCGTGTGTAGCACATGTATCTGCGGATTCCATTAGAAAGATCATGAACATTGAGTATGTAGAGCTGGCAACACTATGGCCAAGCCGCAGTGTAGGAATGGAGCCATCCGCTAAACGCTTCCGAGTTGACGAAAACGCTGCTGACGCTTCAGTACTAATTTCTACCGTGTCGACACCCAGGCATAAAATTGAAAATGTCACCGACTGGATCGAAGCCTGGTCGATCTTTAGGCTCATTGCTAGCGAGGGCGCACCAGGGCATGTGCTGGTCTCATGGAGCGCCAGCTAAGGGTAGTACAAGCGGCGAAAAAATATCGTTTTGCTGCGGTGCAAGTATACGACACTCGGTTGGTAATCTACACATGGAACTCTTCACGCAGTCCTTCACCGGCCAAGCTCTGCCCGTGTGCGCTAAATGTAAGAGGACAGGCCACTCCACCGTGGCATGTGTAGCGAAGCCTTCACTGAACGCGCCTTTTCGTGCCTCCACCTCTGGGCCCAGCGGAAAGCCGATCTGCAAAATGTTTAACAAAGGGAACTGCACCTTTTCAAATTGCAGCTACCAGCTCAGGTGCATGTTCTGCAAGGGAACACACCAAGCAAGGGAGTGTCCCACCCGCGCTTCGGCCTGAAAAGCCTCATCACACGCCTGTACAGCCGTCATTAGTTCGCGAGAACGCTATGTCCACATCTGCTAATTCTTTAAGTTAAAACTCAGTCTCCGCACCAATGAATTTTGATGCAGTTAGTGTAGAGCTTGCTGGCCACCCTGATCGGGTCTTAGTGGAAACTATCTGGTTCAATCTGCGTTTTTGCTGCCGCATCGAGTTTGCAGGCGATCGCGCACTTCAGTTGCTTCTAGTAATCTTGCCTCTGCATTCACAGATCTAGCTATTGTAGATGCCTATTTAGCTAAGGAATGCAAACTTTTAAGCACACTAGAGACGCTTTTGACACGCCACCTTTCTTACCTTTGCGCACGTCTGGTACGGGTGTAGTACCAAAAAAAGACGGCAGCCACCGATTAATTATGCATGGTCTGCCCCTTGCTGGGAATAACGTTAATGACTTTATCGACCAAGATTTGGCACGTGTTGGCGAGACAAATAATTATTCTGACCTTTTGGCTTGCGGTCGTCACCCTTATTTTTTTAATCGTTTTGCTGATGCACTGGTGCGGATCTGACGCGAAACCCACGCTGTTGAGAACTTTGAGCATTATTTAGACGATTTCATCAATGAATAACACGCACGCAAAACCGCACCTCCAGGGTTCCCTGGCAAGCGCATGCCAGGGCTGGCAGACTGTCTTCATTCCGCTTTTTGCATGTACCAGCTTGCATGTATATTGCGTCACCACTGGTTCAGCATAGGCTGACACACAGGCAATGCGGGCATCCGGGCTAACACTTAGCGCGAGGGTCAGCCTCAGGGCGGCGGGTAAAGCCCAGCTATAAATTATCATCACGGCCGTGGCAGGAGGTTGGCAAAGGGCACGGGCGTTGCCTTGATGATTATGTGCAATTTTATAAGCAGAGATAACCTAACATGCTAGGCGTTGGGGGACTCTCCCAATAATACATAAGCATAATTATATTATGGAAGGCTACTTCGACGCCGCAGCGCGTGCACTGTATTTTAAAAAGCTTATATTCATCCCGCGCGGGACTAGCATGGCGTACAGCGGACTTGGCGCGTGCCACAGACCGCTTGACAAACTTTAGCAGCTCAGCCAGGCACGGCATCTCGGGTCCCATAAGGCGCATAGCAATAATTATGTATACCCATGCGGGGCAGCATTGCGGCGCGCAGGGCATATGCGGCGTTGCCTTATGCGCTTGGCAAAGGGCACGGGCGTTGCTAGAAATTTAATAATACATAAAGCATACATCATAGAAGGCTATTTAGATGCCGCAGCGCGCGCAATGTATTCTAAAAATGCCTATATTCATCCTGCGCGGGACTAGCATGGTATACAGCGGACCTGGCGCGCGCCACAGACCACTTGACAAACTAGCAGCTCAGCCAAGCACGGCTTCTCAGGTAGACCGCATGCGCGGATCTCATAAGGTGCATAGCAATAATTATGTATACCCATGCGGGGCAGCATTGTGGCGCGCAGGGCATATGCGGCGTTGCCTTATATGATTGGCAAATGGCACGGGCGTTGCCAGAAATTTAATAATACATAAAGCATACATTATAGAAGGCTATTTAGATGCCGCAGTGCGCGCAATGCATTCTAAAAAGTATATATTCATCCCGCGCGGGACTAGCATGGCATACAGCAGACCTGGCGCGCGCCACAGACCGCTTGACAAACTTAAGCAGCTCAGCCAAGCACGGCTTCTCAGGTAGACCGCGCGCGCGGGTCCCATAAGGCGTATAGCAATATGTATACCCATGCGGGGCAGCATTGCGGCGCGCAGGGCATATGCGGCGTTGCCTTATGCGCTTTGCAAAGGGCACGGGCGTTGCCAGAAATTAAAACAATACATGCTTTAAGCATATATTATAGAAGGCTATTTATATGCCGCAGTGCGCGCAATGTATTTAAAAAGTCTATAATTGTTTATCCCGCGCGGGACTAGCATGGCATACAGCAGACCTGGCGCGCGCCACAGACCGCTTGACAAACTTAAGCAGCTCAGCCAAGCACGGCTTCTAAGGTAGACCGCGCGCGCGGGTCCCATAAGGCGCATAGCAATAGGTATACCCATGCGGGGCAGCATTGCGGCGCGCAGGGCGTATGCGGCGTTGCCTTATGCAGTTGGCAAAGGGCACGGGCGTTGCCAGTAATTATAATAATACATAAGCATACATTATAGAAGGCCAATTAGACGCCGCTGTGCGTACAGTATATTAAAGTCTATAATCATCCCGTGCGGGACTAGCATGGCGTACAGCGGAGTTGGTGCATGCCACAGACCGCTTGACAAACCTCAACAGCGCAGCCAAGCATGGCATGTCGCGCAGCCTGCACGCGCGGGTCCCATAAGGCTCATGGCAATGCGACTGTATACCCAAGCGGGGCAGAATTGCGACGCACAGAGCCTATGCGGCATCCCATGTCGGTCAAGCAAACCAAGGAACATATGGTCAAGGCATAGCATTAGCTCTCCTAAGGGAGATCCCCACTACTATTTTTGGAGGTTGCTTGGCCTAGAGTAAGGGCATGTCCGAGCAGGATGAGAGGTCAAGAAAAGGCAGGACACACGTACAACATCCACTTTTTCGCAGATGCGTTTGGTCTGCACAGGCGATGTTGGGAAGCCCGAGTTGTCTCGTGATGCCAACACCTTGGTAGCATTGTCGGTCGCGCCCAGCACACGTAAGACATACCAGCCAGGCATTAAAGCATACTTGAAATCCGCGTCAGCGGTCGGCTTCAACCCGGCTCAGCCGAACAACGAAGAGATTGTGCGCTTTGTTACCTCACTTTCAGAGTTAGTGCCTGCAGGCAACACTTTTAAAGGTATACTTGGCTGCGATAAGGTTTCAGCTGCTATCACAAGGCATGTCCGTAGAGGGACTCCGCTCACAACGCCTCCTTGCCGTATTGAAAGGCATCGAGCGAACGCAATTTGACACACGGAGGTCGGAGGCAGGCAACCATGCGGGCCGGCAGCGCCTACCAGTTTCACCGTCAGATCTGCTAACCATAAAAGCGCAAGTGGGTACGTCCGCCCACTCGGCAAGCGATAAAGCAATGATATGGGCAGTACTGTTGACGGCATTTTACGGGCTGCTGTGCGTAGGTGTATATGCCTCAATGTCAACGGACGAAGGACGCAATTTCAACACCCTGACCGTGGCTTAGGTCCAGATAGCGCAGACAAAGGTGGTAATCAAGCTTGGTCCCACCAACACCTCGCAGTTCGGCGGAGGCGGCACAGCGTTGCTTTAAGCCAACAGC